AAAGTGAAGTGAAAGCAAAATAAAATTTGGAGAGGCTGTAGCATATTTGTTAAGTTATATGCGTACACCCTAGTCGTGTCAACGCTGTGTTGAGATGTAAGAAGTTTAAAATGTCTCATATTTCGCACGCTATTTTCTCTGAGTGTTCCTGAACACATCTTTTTTTCCCCGGAAGTGACGTTGATTGTTGTATCAGCGTTCCTTTCGTCGTGTGGTAGCGGCTTTGTAAGTGTTGTTGCTTTAAACCTAATTTTTAAATACTGCTTATTGGATTTTTTTATTTCCTTTATTTTTGGCTGTAATATCACTTCTCTGAAACATTATCCGTGTTACCGAAGGCTCGAATTACTGTCGTTTTCAACCTCATCGGCTTTTATAGGAAGCAGCGTTTTAGCTTTAGCAGCTAGCAGGCTAATTTGTTCTTTTCATTTACTTGCCTGTTGGCAGCTGATACTTATCCTACAAAGAAGTGTTTAAAATGCCACAGTCGCAGTTTAATAAGAGAATTGTTAATTATAGGTTTAATTGATTGACCTGGAGTTTTAGCATGTGAGCAAATGATATTTATTAGGAAGATTACGTAACTTGTAATCTAAATGCCTCTCAAATGTTATTTACGTTGCTAACGTGGAAACACATGCAAACTATAAGCGGTTTGATCACCACTGAGGTTTAATGAATGGATGGTTGATATTTGGGAAAGGGTACTGTTGTACCAGCTTGTCTAAAAACCAAAAAGATGAGACTTCTGACTTTCTATAAAACACATAAGTGTAGTAAACGCCTGTTGTGTTGTAGGGAACTGCAATTTGATAATGGACAACGTGACTTTTTTGCTTTTACTGCTTGCAGCTTTTCCATCTGTTTGATAGTTTTAATGTCCCCTGTGTCTAATTGCAGAGCCATCAAAGATGACTACAGCTGCAAGACCAACATTTGAGCCGGCAAGAGGAGGGAGGGGTAAAGGAGAAGGTGATTTGAGTGCTCTCTCCAAGCAGTACTCCAGTCGAGATCTTCCAGGTCACACAAAGATCAAGTACAGGTCAGACGATCAAATGTGAATGGAGTTTCGTCATTGCCTGATCTGATGGCTGGTTAGCTAGAAGGAAAGATGCTTTCGGATCAGTTCCTACTGCATCATCTGTCTGCTCACTGTGAGAGTGGTGAAAGTGTTCCAGAAAGCATTCTGGATGAACATTAGAGTTTATTGATCTGCAAATGTTCTCCCTTCTGCAGGCAGCCTACCCAGGATGCCCCTGAGGAGGTCCGTGCCCGTGACTTTCGCAGAGAGCTGGAGGAGAGGGAGCGTGTAGCAGTACGTGAAAAGACCAGAGAGAGGGGACCAAGAGGTTGGTCTTTCTGCAGAAATTAGACTTCCTGTTAATGTAACATATTTTAGATTATATTTATTTTCTCACATATAGCATTATGTTGGTCTTATTTTTTCCAGAGCACACCACATCATCATCTTCTTCTTCATCATCTTCAAAGAGGCCAAGACTGGATCAGATTCCAGCTGCTAACCTTGATGCTGATGATCCTCTCACTGATGTGAGTGTCTGCAATGCAAGACATTTTGGGCATTTAACTTGAGTGGTGATTAGTACTGATTAATCTCCCTTAATAATTATTTTTATTTTATTAGGATGATGAGGACGAGGACTCTGATGAAGATAGTGATGATGATGACACTGCAGCTCTTTTGGCTGAATTGGAGAAGATTAAAAAAGAGCGTGCTGAAGAGCAAGAACGCAAAGTAACTTTGTTTTAGGCTGTTCTGTTTGCACTAACTGTAATAAGATGTTACATTTGAACATAAGAAATGTTACTTCTTTATATTCAGTAAAATATTATTTTTTCCATCTTAGGAGCGAGAGCAAAAGGCAGAGGAGGAGAGAATTCGAATGGAAAATATCTTGAGCGGCAATCCACTGATTAATTTGGCTGGACAGCAGCAACAGAACCAGAACCAGAATTCCTTCAGAGTCAAGAGAAGGTATGTCTCACTTATACACACAGTAAAAACACAGGATGAGGTTTGTATTTGGGGAAAAGGCCTCTTAAATCTAATCTTGATTTCATTTCTTAATATTATTCAAGGTGGGATGATGACGTAGTGTTCAAGAATTGTGCCAAAGGAGTGGACGAGGCACGGAAGGAGAAACGCTTTGTGAATGACACACTGCGCTCTGAATTTCACAAGAAATTTATGGAGAAATATGTAAAGTAGAGGACTTCCTCTGTGTCATTTGTATTGTTTTTGTTTTTATTATCAAATGTGTTTGGTCTCCTTCCTCTACCCTCTGTTGCGGAGGGTACATGGTTTTTCAAATAAACTCTGTATAGAACTTGATTAATACTTGTACAGTCATCCATCTATCCATGCTATTAACCACGTATCCATCTGTACAGTCATGCTGTATATAAATGTGTCAACGTGACATCCTTTGAGTGAAATTTGTTAAAAGTTAAGTGCAGTTTTAAAATGTGACCAGACATTTATTTTCTTTGGGTTTTTTTTTTTCAGCTGGCAGAGATTATATAACCTAGCATCTCCACAAATGCACAGTTAGATTAGGATCCAGTCAGACCATCACAAGGAAATATCTTCCTTCTGTTTAGCCGCTCCACGCACACAAACATTTCATTCAAAACAGTGTAGAGATCTGCAGTCAAGCCTTTATTTCTTTATGCAGCCATCTGTCATTGGCTTTTTCCCTGCTTATCTTATTCAAGGGCACAGGGGCGCTGGAGCCTGATTTAGACTTCTGTGGGAAATCGTAACGTAACCGGAAAGCCTTCTTAACCCTACACCGCAACCTGACCTGCACCTCTCAAGAAATATAGCTACATCTCAGGTCGATGCAGACTGCAACAACTGAATGACATGGAAGGTTACAGTGTAGAGTTAAGACGGGTTTCGGTTGCAGTAGACGGTACAACTTGGATTTCCTGCAGAAGTCTAAATCAGGCACATCCCAAAGGCACAATACACCCTGTCAGTCTGTCACATTTCTTGTGGAATTCTTTTTTTCAATAAAGTGTCTTCATATTAAACTGCTTTATGAACCCTTAAAAATAAACAGACTGAAAAATCAAAAGCACATCAGTCACCAGGATACTGTTATCCTATACACACAAAACTTTCCAGTAAAATAAAGGTGCAAGTTTTATGTTAATCTTATCCAAACTACATGTTCCACTTCATCAAGATTAGAATATTCCCAGTTTATTACTCATTTAATGAATTGTCTGTAATTATGCAGAATTGTTGAACAATTTGAGCACATTTAATTTTGGTGTATTTCCATGCAGATACAGCTTCTCCCTTCTTATTAAACCTAGCTGCATACAGTAGACTTCTTGTCTAAAATCCATTTTGCATTTGAAATTATCAGCTTCATCTCATTCAATAGAAAGTAGCAGTAAAGTCAAACAAAAGTGACTATTTCTATTGTTCTTGCATTAAGTCTTTCATTGACACGAATGTAAACACGATTTAAGTTACTGTCAGTACTAAAGTTAATTTTACTGCACTTTAGCCATTTCATTATTCCAGCATTCATTATTATGGACCCAAGGCAGTGACATTACCCACGTGGACGTTGGGTGGATAATTAGACAATGTGTACGTCTTCATTAAAAATAAGCATTATCCTGTCATCCACTTTCTACTGCGTAGCCAGAGGTTTGGCACGAGAGAAACGCGTTGCACGCGATCAGTTGTAGTTCCACAGAGAGACAGCAGAGGGCGCGCCCTCCAACGATCCTGCCTGTGACGGGGATTGGGAGGCTTCTGGGAAAAGATGGCAGCTTCCTTTTGTTTGTGGGGATTTGCTTCACTCGGAGGAGGGATTTAAAAGCGTTCAGTGGCTCTTTAGCGGTAAAAGTCTTGACTCGCAATACCGGTTATCCAAACACTTGAAGAAGGAGAACATGGAGAAGAGCGGGAGTGTCGATAGCTTGGGCTCGAAGCGCTCCTCTTCCCGACAGCCGAGTGTAGATTCATTGTCCAGGTAGCTAAACTCATCGCCAGACACCGCCTTTTAAGCTAACCAAAAGTTTTGACACTATCAGCAGGGGTTAGTTATTAAGGCTTTATAGCTAAAGTTAAGCGTGTCTAACTTCAGTACACTTCTTGTAAGCTTTTCCGCTGTGACTAATGTTATCCACCAGTGACGGTGTCCTACGAGCGCTACGAGACCAACGCAGCTTAAACTGTAAATTAGGACAACGCAGTTTTATCGATCCGCTCCAGTAATCACTCAGGCTGTGATGTGATAGAAATGTCAAACGGAAGCTAACACAGCCTCGATGTAGTAGAGTGTTTGCCCAAACAGTGTCAAACTTATTTCAGTCCATGGACAACATAGAGCCCAGTTTGCGCTCGTGTGGGCCAGACAAGTTAAAAACACTTTCTCAAATCATCAAATATTTTTAGAACATTTTCTTCACAGCCACGTCTGATTTGCCTCAAAATGTTGTGGTTTCCACATATCTAATAATTGCTGTAGCGTTTTAGTTTCGTATATCAGATATTTTTGAAGATGGATTAGAAAAGAAGTTCCGTCGACATAAATAAAAGCCTGAAGTTTTCACTGGCTGATGATATTCTAATTCTAACGGAGAACATAATTTAGTTTAGTCAAGTATATGTATATTTTTCATTTCTGACAATTACTTTATAGGCATGCATATAAAGTAGGAGTCTGATAATTCAGGTTAAGTTTAAGATATGCTCAGAGGTACTTAAAAATGCAGCTGTTCCAAGGTAATATTTTTTGCACATACAAATGAATATAGAAAAACTATTAAGAGAAATGAGAAATGGATTAGTAGCTCATTCCATGTGAGTAGTATTGCAAGGTCAGGTACGTGTGCACATGGTGAAATCAGTAGTCCGACACAAGACACTAACCCCTTGCCCTGATGTCACCGGGTGATGAGTATGCTGCCGGAATTGTAATCTGTTTTAAAATCTTACATTTTTGCATTTTAGTGTTCGTATCCTGTATAATTTTAAACTTAACCTCAGTTATACGACTCCTTGAGGGCATTGTGCATGCCCAGATCCATCAGAGGGGATCTGGAAAATGAAAAATATACATTTAACAAAATTTTTTTCTCAGTCTGAGAAAAAAAAAGGACCAATCTCAACAGATGTCTCTGTTTTTTTTAGTCATTGAGTCTTCTGTCATTACATATACGAATACGTATAGATATGTAAAAAAAACTCCCCCCTAAAAAGAAAAGACTGCACCTAATAAATGGTTCTCACTTGTGTGATGTCACTTTCCACCAGCACTTCCACCTCTCGCTCTGACCGCTCTGCCCAGGCCAAACCACCATCTGCTATGTCCTCGGATTCTGTGTCCACCTCTGCAGAGTTTTCCCCAGAGCTCAGGGTTAGTGACCTGCATATGTTTCACCACTATTATTTTTCTATTAAAACTTTTTTTTTTAATTTAAAAACTGAAGTGTGGCTCTCCTCTTCTTTTTGCAGGTCAAGCCCAAAATATCTGCCAAGGTAGATGATTTTACACATTTAATTTTACCCATCCTATCCTATATGTTTGAGTAACATTTCCAGTCAAGAGACCACTCAGAACTAAAGATGATATGTTTCCAGCAGGCCATCAGAGATTCAGACAAAGAAGAACTGCAGTTGCTTCCAAATGAAACCGTGCAAGACATGGGTAGGTTTCCTTTCATCTGCAATCACATTCAGAACAGCAAAAATGCATCATCACCTTTATCCTCTTGTTTTTATTCATAGCCCAAGATGTCACCTACTTCTGTCCTTTCACTGGAGCACTGAGGGGAACTGTGACTGTCACCAACTACAGGCTATTCTTTAAATCTATGGACAGGGTATGTTATTGATTATTTTTAATTTGTATTTTGAAGATTTATGTTTTTTGTTAATGTCTGGCTGATTTCCAGGACTCAACATTTATGTTGGACTTGCCACTTGGGGTGGTGAGTCGCGTGGAAAGGATTGGAAACGCTTCGAGTCGTGATGTGTCCTATGGGCTGGTGTGCAAAGTGAGTAAGCTTGTGAAAGTTGTAAAGAATTACTGCTTTTATTTTTGATTTACAGAATCGCTAAGTTGCAAAATAGCCAAGTAGTTTACAGTTATTCAGCTGAGAAGCAGAGACAGAGCTGATTAAGAAATAGTGAAGTTTTACAAAGATCTACTTCTACGTTACCTTTCTTGGTAATAACGCTTGGCTGTGATGAAATGATACTTGCATACAGCTGCTAGCCCTTGAGTTTTTCCATGATTTGTTGCTCTGCATTTCTACAGGATGTTCGTAATCTACGATTTGCACACAAACAGATGGAGGACACCCTCAGGAAGTCCATTTTTGAAGTGCTGATGAAATTCGCTTTTCCTGTTTCCAATGGGCTGGTAAGTACTGCCCAGCAATGCTGTTGCTGACTTTATAGCCCTGCACATACAGCACTGGGAAACACATATTCGTAGTCCTCTGAAAAACTAAGTTCAATTTTAATTCAGTTAGATTTATATAGAACCAAATCACAGCAACAGTTGCCTTGTGGCACTGTGTATTATAAGGTAAAGACCCTCCAGTAATACAGGCAAAACTCCAAAAATCAGACAACCCCTTATGAGCAAGCACTTTGGCAACATTTGGAAGGAAAAACTCCCATTTAACAGGAAGGAAGCTCCAGCAGAACCAGGCTCAGGGAGGGGCGGCCATCACTCGTGACCAGTTAGGGGTTAGGGGAGGAAGACAGGACAAAGACACGCTGTGGAGGAGAGCCAGAGAAGTAACATATTTTAGAGTCAAATGTGAAGCCATCTGTTCAACAGTTAAAGCTTGGCCTTAATTGGGTCATTTAATAAGATAATGATCCCAAGCACAGTTTCAAATGTAAAACATAATGGCCAGTCCAGACCTCAAACCATTTGAAATGCTGTGCCTAAACAAATACCTGCAAACCTCAATGACCTCAAGCAACGTGTTCAAGAGTGGGCTAAAATTCCTCCACCATCATGCAAGACACTGATAACGTCATACAGAAAATGATTACTTCAAATTGTTGCTCTTAAAGATGGTTACATAAGATACTGAATTGTGGAGTGTACTTAGTTTTTCACAGGTCTAACTTTCACAGGTCTTTTACAAAGTGCACAAACTGTTTTTCGTGTACAACCAACTGAAAAATGTCTCCCCCACTCTCCACAGCCAATCTTTGCCTTTGAATATGGGCAGGTGTTTCCTGAAAATGGATGGAAGGTGTATGATGCTCTCTCAGAGTATAAAAGACAGGTACTTAAGTTATGCAGAATGCTTTGTTAAATGTTAAAGTACACTCATAAAACGGGTTACTTATGTCTTTTCTTTTTTTGTCAAGGGTATACCCAATGAAAGCTGGAGGATAACTAAAGTAAACGATCACTATGAGCTGTGCGACACGTACCCATCAACACTGGCAGTGCCTGTTAACATACCAGACGAGGAGCTGAAAAGAGTCGCTGCCTTCCGAGCAAAGGGAAGGATACCGGTGAGCGACCGTATTTTTCAGCGGTACTATAATTGTCTGTGTGTGTGCCCGGCTTGCAGGACAGTCTGTGCTGATATTCTGCTACACATTATTTAAAGGTGTTGTCATGGATCCATCCAGAGAGCCAGGCAACAGTGACACGCTGCAGTCAGCCGATGGTTGGGGTGAACGGGAAGCGCAGCAAAGAGGATGAGAAATACCTGCAGGCGATCATGGATGCTAATGCTCAGTCACATAAACTCTTCATTTTTGATGCCAGACCCAGCGTCAACGCTGCTGCCAACAAGGTCCATTTTCTAAATTATATTTATTTAATGGGACCCACTTTACATTGTGTTACAGTGATTGATACATATGTTAAACATGGCCAAAGCTTCAAATAATAACAATGACAATAATAGTAATCCCAGTGAGCCAAAAGGTCAGGCTTCAGACTTTTCTCAATGGTCCATTTCAGACAGTCTTTTTCTACTCGTGGTTGTTCATGATGTCAAAGAGAGTAGCTATCCTTAACGGTGATCGCGTGTACATTATTGGAAGGGGAAAGAGAGCTGAAACAAAGTTTGATTCAAGGCTTGTTTCAAAGCGTGGATGAAAGATCTCCCAATAGATTCTAAAAATAAACACGAAAGTCCAAAATGAAGAGGCTCGTATGGAGCCGTAGCCAGATTTAGATTCTTATCTTTTATTATTCGCTGTGCATCATCAAGCACAGTTTTGAGTTTTTAGCTGGTACAGTGTATTAGCTATGCGTTGTCTTTGCAGATTAAAGTAAATAAAGCGTGCAATCAGTACTATATTTGAGCATTAAGGTAAAATCTGAGCTCTTTAGCTAGAAGATCACTAGTTTCTATTGTGTCGTGCCTACAGTGGTGTAGTGGTTAACGCATTCACTTGGCAAGCAAAAAGGTCCCTGGTTTGTTTCCAGCTAGAGACACAAATCCCCTTTAGGACCGTGTCAGGAAAGGCATCCGGCATTAATTAGTTTTCTCTGGTCCCCTCCCCAATCAGACCAGGAGTGACATGTTTAGCCGCATGTTCTCCTTAAATTGCTGGCTGTCTGAGTGGTGTCCCAGAAACGATGTGGGCTTCATAGATAATTGGCAA